GTGGGTGCCTGGCCGAGAACTGCAGGCGAACAGATGACGGCAGTCATGCGGCCTGGTAGTCGACACGGTTGGCGAACTGCTCGAGAGCCAGTACGATGAGACGAGTGAGACGGTGAAACAGAGACATCTCGTCCAACTCCTAAAGTTCTGCCTGAAGACGTTCTTCACTTTCGAGGGGACAGCATACGAACAGATCAAGGGGACGCCAATCGGATCGCCGCTCTCAAATTTCATCGCAGAGTCAGGTCTCCAAAAATTGGAAACTCTCATGTTCGCAAACTATAGGCCAACATTTTGAACTCGGCATGTTGACGATGCCTTCGTCATCATTGAGTGAAATTCCACGAACTCCTGAACTCTGTGTTTCCTGACATCCAGATCACGATGGAGACCGAGAACGACAACCAACTGCCGTTTCTAGACGTTCTCATGCATCGAAAACCTAGCGGGAACCTCAGAACGACGGTGTATAAGAAGGCCACCAATACGCGCCAAATCTTGAGTTACCATAGCAAGCACCCAGCACGCCACCAATGCAGTTGTGTACGAGCGCTGTATAAACGGGCAGAAACACACTACAATGAGCTGCATGACCGGAAATCTGAAATGCAGTACCTTCAGCGCCTCTTCATGGTCAAAAGTTACTCTCTAAACTTCACCGAACGCGGCAAGCAGTCTCCACCGAACCCAAGTCCGGCAACCGACCAACCAAAATTATGGCGTGCGCTGACTTACATTGATGGCGTTTCCGAGGCAGTCTCCCGTCTACTAAAACCACTGGGGATTGGCATCGCCCACCAACAGAATCAAAATACGACATCTGGTCATGAGACCAAAGGCCCCTCTGCCCCGGGGTGAAGCAGATAAAGTCATGTGTCGGATCAAATGTAAAGCCTGTGCGGTGATGTACGTTGGAGAGACTGGGAAAAGTTTGCAAACCCGATTGACGGAACATGTGAGGGCAGTAAGACGGATGGGCCCACTGTCTTTGGTGGCTGAACATTGTACGGACTCCGGAAACACGACAAACAGTTCAAAAGCAAGCGCGCGATGGAGCTACTGACCTACTGCTTAACCACATACTTCACGTTTAATGACCAGGTCTACGAGCAAATCCAGGGAACCCCGATGGGCTCCTCGATCTCGGGCTGTATCGGTGAGACAGTGTTGCAGGAACGAGAAACGCAGGTCTTTCGGTCTCACAAACCAAAAATTTGGAGGCGTTTAGTGGATGACACCTTCGTTATCCTGCGTCGAGATGAGAAAGAGGCCTTTCAAAGGTCACTGAACTCAATTTTCCCGTAAATCCAATTTACAATGGAGGAAGAAAAGGACGGAGAAATTCCTTTACTTGATGTTCACGTGTCGAGGCAGGAAGACAGAGTACTGCAGACTGGTGTATTTTGGGAATCGACAAACGCGGCAAAAATACTCCATTACAACAGCAACCAGCCTGTCGCATAAACGCAGTTGCGTCCGAACACTCTTTCTACGTAGCAAAACGCACTGTAGCAGAGATACCGAGAAGCTGCAAGTGCGTAAGACTCCTTTGCAACTCTTCCTCTCCAATGGGTACCCGCGTAGCTTCATCAACAAATACTTGTACTCAAGGCACACGAATACTGACGGCGAACCAAAACAAAAACCAGAAATCTTCCGTGCCCTGCCCTAGGTGAGAGACGTCTACGAGGCCACTGAACGCATGCTCAGACCCCTCAATGTGGGCCTTGGCCACAGGCCAGAGGCTACCATCCGGCGCTTACTAATGCAACCCAAGGGTCGGCTACCGTCTGAGGACACGTCAAGAGTTGGTAACCACGTAAACTGTCTAGACTGCCCGGCCAACTACTGTAGTATGACGGACAAACGGCTTAACTAAACAATACATGAGCACGCATTGGCGGTAAAGCGAAAAGGCGTACTATCACACGTCGTTATCCGCAGCCTGAAAAACAACCCCAAATTCGACTTCGACAGTGCACAAGTAGACGGCCGAGGTAAAAGCAAAATTAAGGGGAGGTAATCGAAGCCTGGCAACCCGATGCCAATACGATTAGCCGAGGGATCGAACTGCCAGTGCAATACGAGGCCCTCAGGAAGCTATTGGGCAGGACAACAGGACCAATCAAAATCACACAAACCGGACCAATGAAGAGTGAATGACAAAAATCTATTTAAACTATGTATTTACCTTTTTGTCTAACTACGATGGTGTGCTCGAGTACGAGTGTGAAAAGTCAGACGAGAAAACCATCCTCCCCAGAGGTCGCCTTACGTTATCATTATATACATATTCATACAGAAATGTCCGAACACCGATCCAATAGGCTTCTGAAATAAACACAGTTCGCTTGGCGCCTAGAGGTGCCGAAACGGGGGACAATTTGCCAGGCCGGTGCCGGAGAAGTCATAATAGCAGAGAGGGATGACAGCGATTGAGTGAATATATACCCGGTCTGCAGTGACAGCAAATGACAGGTGGTGAGGCATTGATGAACTGCGGCTCGATGAAGTGCTTATGACCCATCTGGTAGATCCCATTGGTGGACCAGCTGCGCCATCTGTGAGTGCGTATGCTTGTTTTGTTCGACCCAGCTGCTGTTCAGGATTATGCTTGGCTGAATGAAGGCAAATAAGCCCGAAACAGTTCTGTGTTAACTTGCCCCCAAACACTGTCATCCCTCTCTGCTACTATGACTTGGCCGGCATCGGCCTGGCAGGTGGTCACCCCTTTCGGGGCCACCACCCGAAATCTGTTTATTTCGGAAGCCTATTGGATCGGTGTTCGCACATTTCTGAGTGAATATATACCCGGTCTGCAATGACAGAAAATGACAGGTGGTGAGGCTTATTTACCTTCATTCAGTCAAGTATAACCCTGAACACAAGCTGGGTCGGACAAAATGAACATAGGCACTCACAGAAGGCGCATCTGGTCTACCAGATGGGTCATGACTTACTTACTTGTACTTGATCCGATTAGCTCCTGTTGTTGGATGAATCGGCTTCACGGATAGTGGCGGCCCATTGGCGGCTGTCGGAAGCGAGCTCTTCACAGATGTTAACCGATTGTTTTTTCCAATGTAGCAAGCCATAAACGGTTACGAGGCCCATCCGTTCGACGTCCGACTTGACGATGCTGTGACATGCTTTCAGTTGACCGCCTTGTCGGCATCTCCAGTC